ATCGCCCAATAAATATGTAAGTGAAAGTGGAGATGGACCGGGCACACGATGAGGATGCCACTGAATGACATTGCACGCCAGGCCCCCGGGTGGTATCCAAGCGGGAAGCGACGAATGGGTCGTGAGTGCCAGGGTGACATGGAGAAAATCGTGTGAGGGAGAGATGAGAGAGTTCGGTCAATCACGGACCCAGTTGAAAAGGATGCAGAAAACAGAACAAAGTAGAGATCTGTTGTCGAAGCTTTTTGTTCCACTTGGAACGCAAGGGAATTATAGCGATAATAGTTGTTACAGAATATAGTGCCATAAAGTAATGAAGATAAAACTTTTAGGCTGTCAGAGGAGGAAACCATTGCTATGGCACAGAAGGAAAATGAACTGGCCTTTGTTACGACCCTAAAAATGTCCAGAAAAGTCCGTGTATGTTTAGGAGTTATGCATGTCCTATAAGACTGTAGAGGCGTCCTTAAATCGGCTACCCGGAACTGATAGACATTTAGTTTTGTGACTCTCTAAATGTCTCAGATCTGAAGAAACGAGTTACTTCACTTTCTGTGCTTAAATCACGGATAACGTACAATGATGATACGCATAGTTTCTTTCAAGCATCTGTAATCCATCCAACGAATACTTGGGTTTTTTTGTTAATACGAAGTCTATATCTCTATATCTCTTGATGTGGTCTATTGAATCACTAGTTATCAGATTTTTCCTGCAAACTAAAGACAAAATGACAGCAACCGTAAATCATGTAATTTAAACAATACTTATGCATGGCTATACAATTGGTGTATCCCACATAGCTAGGAAAAATATGTACCTTATTATATCATCTTTACTAACTATGCTTACTAATCGTGTGTGTAATTTATCGAACCGATGATGCCTGTTAACTGGCGCCCCTCATGTACAAAAATGAGAACATATATTATTATTATACGCGAACTTAGGCGAACAAGTCAAGCACAAAGACTAAGTTGTCCCAAATAGAGCTGCATATAAGACGACGTGCTTTTTCCTCTCTAACCGGAAAATACCAGTTCTGTGAATTATCCGTTTGGGAAACCTGATCTTCCTAGCCGGTGAATTTAATTCAACCATTACTTACATAGTAAATCTCTGTGTGGTAAGTCCAGCTGTCTCGAACTACTGCCAAAGCTTCAGGTGCTACTTTTGTAGCAGCATCTTCCTCACTCGTTCAGAGAAACAAGACTTGTTGGTCTACCACGTGATTGCCGTGAAGCCGATCATTCAGAAAGTACTAGGTAAAGTCGAAAACCTTTTCTTTTCCTTGCCTTACACTTTTTCAGTCTTATTCTTGCTCTTTTGGTTAGAAACTGTTGCTCTCTTAGACGTACATAGCATAATTTATAGTGATTGTTAATATGGTTGTCGAAAGCAGCCTTAAAAAAGCCACTAGAATACCGTACTCTGTAGTCACAAGGGCTTCAGCCAGGGAAGGAAAAAATCCAGGGATTTCAACCCCTTCCCGCATACCGATCCTAAAGACTCGTGTAGCTTTAGTCTGCCCTGATACAACGCCTGCATTGCCACAGTCTAGTACTGAAACGGCACAGGCAATACCAGAAGGACAGAATTCTACACCTGCATCAACTGTAGGCCAGTGTGTGAAACACATCAAGCCTAAAAGGAAACGTTCAAGACGTCATAAGACCTCGAAGGCGTCATCAAGGAAAGGGGATGAATGCCAGGCGTGCAGCATCACAGTTTCTAAAACTGATTCAGCGTTTGAATGTAATTTTTGCAAACGATGGGTGCACTGCCGTTGTGACAAAGAAGTACCGAAAGCATACTATGAGTTTATGAGAAATAACCCATGCCCATGGTTTTGGTACGTGTGTCCACTTTGTCGCCCTGGCATAGTCCCACAAAGCGTGTCTGCGGATAGCAGAAATAACACGCTCTTGTGCCCCAACACAGTATCATGCAGCTCCCCCCTGCTAAACTCGCACTGCCGAAACTGGTCAAAGACTTAAAGAAGGACACACCAGCCCTACTGACTGGAAATGCCAATTCTCACAAGGTGAAGATTAGCAAGGTTCCATCCACATCAGGGGAAGGCAAAATTACAAAGGCACCACTTGCATCCACTAGCAAGCCTGGCAACACAAAAAAGGCTGTCCAGGTACCGATGAAGCCTAATGTTGCTAATGATGCAAAGGACTGCAAGAAGCCGAAGGCAAAACCTAAGTCTGAGGGTAGTCGGTCTAACTCTCTCATCCTCTTTAACGTACCTGTGAGCACGGATAGCTTGCTCGAACAACGGGCCCTGTTTGATCAGGAACAGTGGTCCAACCTGTGCAGCAAACTAGGTCTGAACATTAGTTCAGCAAAACTGTGCAGACTGTACAGGGGTGTCCACACGCCTCAGGGTAAGCCACCCCCATTACGGGTTACACTGGACTCTGCCGAAGAGGCCGAAAAAGTACTGTTAATGGCTCAGGTACTAGCCCTGGACAGAAGTTCTAACATAAGAGCGCGGCAAGATAGACCATGGGCTGTCAGAAATATGGCGAGGGAGTCACCGGAACTGATGCCTTCCACCTCTATGGTGGTACACGGTGTTCCGGAGCTGGAAACCGGCACTGCTTGTGAAAAACACATGCACGACGTACAACAATGGAGATGGCTGTCATCTCAGATGGCCCCTGGCGCTTCTGGAGCCATCTCCATTTTCCGACTACCTCGTCCCGCTCATCTAACATTGATTAACTCTCCAAAGCTGCTGTGTGTCACATTCAACTCCCCGGAGCAGTTGTCCATATCACTTCAACGGTGGTATGAGACCAAGGGAAAAATTGGAGGACACATCCGATGCTGTGAAAGCAGACCCAGAAATATAAGGAGGCAGCAAACTGAGGCTTTAATACGACCCCAAGCTTCGGTGACACTAGAGCGATGCAGCTCTGAGAATAATAGTCTGTGTCTCCCAAGTGTCCTGCCTAAATCCATTGAAAAAAACTACAACGGGCCGGTTCTATCGGAATCGGCCAACTAGTTCCAACATCAAGTCCCCCACCAGCAGACGGTTTCACGTCAACTACCCCACAACACTCTGAGGTTGTTAGACTCACTGTCAGTTGCCTATATAGCAATGTGAGGGGGCTGAGAGGGAAAGTAGGTGAACTCCGAAATCTCCAAGCACACCTTCAACTGAAAATAATCATTCTTACTGAAACGTGGCTAAACCCCACTATCGCCGACAATGAAATCAGTATAGGTGATATGGTACTGGTCAGGAGAGACAGGGATAATAAGGAAGGAGGGGGAGTTGCTATATACTTTGATAGGCAACTTAAATGTGTGCGCGCAACGGACCCACCACTTATCGAACTCCCAGACTCCATATGGTGTCATTTCACCGTAGGCCACACCAAGCACTTACTGGGTGGCATCTACCGATCTCCCACCTGTGGGGCAGAGCACAATCAGCTACTGCTCAGCACTATCACAGGAATACGAGATTTGGGCTACGACCAAATCACCATAGCTGGAGATTTCAATGCTCCATCACTGAACCTCGGCTCCGGGTGTGCTAAGGGAAAATTTGGCCGAAACCTACTGCAAACTATTCGAAACACGGGACTGACTGAGAATGTTGGAGACGACACTAGGTGGGGCCCTAGTGGAAAGTCATCAAAACTAGATTATATTCTAACTAGTGACCAGCTACTCGTCGAAAAGGTCCAGATCATGACTCCTCTGGGAAGCAGTGACCATGCAGTCATAGGTTTCGATCTTGTCCTCCGTGAGCGTTTGCAATGGGATGTTACGCGACCATGTCTGTGCTACAGCAAGGCTGACTATGCTGAAATGCGGAGGCTCTTGTCCGACGCAGACTGGCCCTTAGCATGGGACGACCTATCTGTGGATGAACACTGGGAAGTGGTAAAAAAGATTATCCATACAGCAATCTCGGATACCGTCCCTTTAGTCACAACACAGCCTAAGAGAAAGACGTCATGGTTGAAGAGAGGCACGCAACGTATTCTGCAAGCAAAGCGGAGGCTTGGTTTACGTGGCGTGTATCTAAGAGTCAGACCGACCATGATGCATACCTCGAACTCAGGAACCGGTGTAATGCAAGAGTTAGGAGGGACAGAAGGTCATTCCAGGCTAACCTTGCTAAAAAACTCCTATCAAACCCTAAAAACTTGTACCGATTCATGTCGGAAAGAAAACCGACAAACCAAGGGGCATGCGCCTTAGTAGGCCCAAACGGTCAATATCTCACTAGTCTGGAGATGGCTGAAACATTCAGTTCAGCCTTCGCTAAACAGCTAAACAGCAATGTGGATATTACAGTTACGGACCAAAATGGTGGCACCACTATTTCAGAGGAGGAAGACCTAGCGACTACTCCCCAAATAAACCCCGCAATAGTACTAAGGAAGCTACAGCGACTCATACCTGGGAAGTCCCCAGGTTGTGATGACATCAGGCCATCTGTTCTGAAACAGTGCGCCGAGGCTCTCTGTAGACCCCTGTGCGACTTGTTCCAACACTCAATGGATTCGGGGACCCTGCCAAGGGAGTGGAAAAGAGCCATCCTTTCTCCAATCTTCAAGGGTGGGGACAGGCAAAACGCTGCTAGCTATAGACCAGTAGCTCTACTCCCAGTGGTATCAAAAGTACTGGAAAGTATTATTGACGACCACATCAGGGAATATTTCGATAGGACTAATATACTACATGAAGCCCAACATGGTTTCAGAAAAGGCAGATCCTGCGTCACTAACCTACTGTCAGCTTGGGACGACTGGACATCATGCTGGGACTTGAACGTACCAGTCCATGTGGTCTTCCTAGACTTTGAGAAGGCATTTGACACTGTTCACCATGACCTTCTCCTACATAAAATAAGCCAGGCAGGCATAGGTGAGCCACTTCTGTCATGGTTGAAGGACTACCTAGCCGACAGGCAATTTTGCACTAAGGTTAACCGAGTCCGATCATCTTGGCACAGATCGTCATCAGGAGTGTCGCAGGGTTCTATCCTAGGACCACTGATGTTTTTGATTTTCATCAATGATCTACCACGCCGTCTGAGCTGCCCGACTCTCCTGTACGCTGACGACGTAAAAATATGGAGGGCGATAAAGTGTCCGGAGGACTCAGATAGGCTACAGGAAGACCTAAACCTTCTGGAAGACTGGGCGGTGGCCAGTGGCATGACTTTCAACTTGAAAAAGTGCAAAGTAGTGAAGTTGCGCACCTGTAGACTGCAGAATGCAAGTTACACCCTGTGCAATGAAAGCTTGTCCTGCACAACGTCGGAACGCGACTTAGGTCTAGTTCTAACGGAAAAAATGGACACAAGCGTAAATTACACAGGGGATGTAGCGAGGGCATATGCGGTCATACACTTTACGCATAGACAGTTAGGTGCACTCACTCCTGAGCTCTTTCTAATGTTGTACAAAACATACGTCAGGCCACACCTTGAGGTGCATAATATTATTGCACCCCCAATGCTGAGAAGAGATGCCAACCTCTTGGAAAGAGTCCAACGACGGGCAACAAAAGGAGTGGTTGGTCTCCGAAACAAACCATATGATGAAAGGCTGAAGAAATTAGGCCTGTTCACACTTAGTTACCGTCGGCTTAGGGGGGATTTGATTACTGCCTACAAAATAACAAATGACCAGAATCACCCAAACAAAGGTGTTCTGCCATTGAGTAGGTATAGGCTTCCACGTGGAAATCCCAGAAGGATAGCTCACCAGAGGGCAAGGACCCGGGTGCGCTCCCACTTCTTTTCACTGCGGGTTTGTCGTCCCTGGAATTCCTTACCGGCAGATGTAGCTATGGCACCGTCTTTGGACGCCTTTAAGCGAAGGCTGGACAACCATGCAGCGATACAAGGACTGCATCCAAATGGCCTATCTCCTTAAAATCGCATTTACCAATCAGGGTAGATAATTAAACTCGTCATTTTACTTCTTTACATTCTCTCCCGTCTTACTCTCCTGACAACTTATTAATATTATAATTACTATTACCGATATATATATATTATTCTTCAAACGTAATAATAATATATATTCTCATTTTTTACATGAGGGACGCCAGTTTACAGGCATCATCAATTCGATAATTTACACATAATATTAATAAGCATATTTAGTAAAGATAATATGATAAAGTACATTTTTTCCCTAGCTATGTAGGGTACGCCAATTGTATAGGCATGCATAAATATTGTTTTAATAATAATAATATATTCCTTTCTGTTTATGCAGGAACATACCAATTGTACAGGCATGGATAAGTTATTATATCAATTACACATAATTTGATGTATGGTGAATTTACAGTTTGGTTGTTCTTTCTGACATGAGAGTCAGTCGGAACAGTCTGCTATAAAGTCTGTTTGTGTAGCACATAAAGAGATATAGAAATATTGTCTTCGCATTAACAAAAAACCCAGACATCACATGAATGTAATACAGATATCTGGGAAAAATAAAGCTTGAAGTCAATTCTCTTATATAACTTTGTTGTGAACAGCATTGTTGGCTTAAAGATTATTGATGTATTATGTTGAGATCAGTGATATATTTATTCCATTTTTCAATGAGCTGACTGTTGTTACGTTTCCTATATTCGTTTCTGTCTCTTAGTCTGAATAGCTTCACTAATTATATCTATTATTATTATTACTAACTCCTTTCTCTTGTCGACGATACCGAAGGACTAACTGGCGAAAGGATCAACTCCAATCACAGTAGTAACAGTCTTAACATACCTCATACTACAAACCACATATAATTAATCCCAGCACTACTCCCTTTGGAGTCAACCAAAGCTACGACAGTCGAGTGGCGAGACAAGCTACGCAGAAGTTTACCGAAGATCAGGAACCTATACCTCACAATCAAGAAGCGAGCACAAAGAAATCAAATTGGTTTATACTAGCTCGTAAAAACGATATTGGATATTGGAATGCACCTAGGTCAGAAGTCTTACACGTCGTACTCCCTGGGGGACACAGAAATGCCAGATGTTAGGGGACAAAAGGACTTAGGAGTTATTATAAGCTATGACTTAAAAAAAACGGTAAATTACAATCGAGCAGCAGCTAAGGCTTTCCGAATGTCATCGGCATTTAGGAAGGCTTTCAAACGGTTAGACGAGGGTAGATGACGAAGAACGGCAGATTGGATGATTTACGACTGAGAACAGGTTGCCACCAAACTGCGAGGAAATTATTTAAAGGCCAGTCACCCAAATATCCGCAAAGAATTCTTGGTGTATTAGACAATTATTACATGAAACACATATTTATGTGTCCTGCAACACAGTGAATAATAATAGCAAAACACAAAAGCAAAATGGATTCGACATATAATCGCCCAGGATTTTGCCCCTCTGTATATATTTAAGCCGTCACTATAAGAGTTACATTTTTAAGTGGAAGTTCAAAGCTGTAGGGCAAAGCACAATACTGTTGCACTAAACAAAATACATTTATTAATTGCACTGTTAATCTTTATATTTCAGGTCGCCCGGCGTCCATCATCTCTCACCATCACTGAACAAAGTCGCTAACAATCTACAAAGGTGTGAATTCGGGAAGAGGCATACAACAGTATGGGGTGAAAAACACAATCGTCTAGGTAACATGCATTGTTCCACGCTTAACATATTCGTTCTACCATAGAAAATATGACGTTCTCTATGACAATATAGCTTTGCTCAAACACTGATGTTGTTTCGTTCTTTCCTCCAGAGCAGCCAGACTTTTATTGAAGCAGCGAATACGAACAAAAGAGTAATTCTTGGCTTTGTTAAAGGCCTAATAGTAGTATATATTTATTCCTGTCTATGCAGGAACATACCAATTGTACAGGCATGGATAAGTTATTATATCAATTACACATAATTTGATGTATGGTGAATTTACAGTTTGGTTGTTCTTTCTGACATTAGAATCAGTCGGAACAGTCTGCTATAAAGTCTGTTTGTGTAGCACATAAAGAGATATAGTAATATTATCTTCGCATTAACAAAAAACCCAGACATCAGATGAATGTAATACGGACATCTGGGAAAATAGCTTGAAGTCAATTCTCCTATATATCTTTGTTGTGAACAGCACCCTCGGCTCAAAGTTTATTGATGTATTATGTTGAGATCAGTGATATATTTTTTCATTTTTTCAGTAGTCTTATTGTAGTTTTATAACAGGAAAACAAATCGATCGTGGATGCAAAAACTAGATGAGGTCATGTTGGATTGTTTTACTGCATCAAATGGTGCCGAGGTCGATTCCAGAATTCTCTATTTGCGCCATTTGTGTCTGCATGGCGGACTGTACACGTAAGTTTAGCAAAATGTTGAAAACTGTTTGAAAACCAGTTGCTTCTTTATTTGAGATCACGAATACTGCTTGTACAGAACGTTAGCCAGCGTCTTCAAATGGTAGCATTGGACCGTTCATTGAATTTGAATGGTTATGAGTTAAATGGTCTGGAATCCAGCTTTATTTCAGCTTAGGTGCAGGGTTTTTCAACCTCGAGGTAGCTTGGATCGTTCAGTCTTCAACTACATTGGCAAGCGATCTGAACTCGAGTCCCGTCCTGGAGGTAATAGCAAGACACCTACCTACTTGACTGCAAAGAAAATGGGTGAAGATAAGCTCTCGTATAGAGGAAGAAGGTACTAAGTCAAGGTTTGATGATATCCTTAAACTGGTAAAAGATAGTGTCAATGAAACTATGAGCAAGTTTGCCAGTATATTGCATCCCACCCCTAGAATAGAGCAGTCTGGGAGCAAAACGCAATCATTGATGACGAAAGGGTCTCAGAGAGGTGGATATCAAGAAAGCTTTATGGTGTCTAGTAATCTAGATAAACTTAGTGAGTGTAACAGCCTTCGTGGGAATTCCTCATCAGATAGGTTGCAATTTGCGAGACAAACGCGGTTGTGTTTTACACGTTTGCAAGAAGTGCATACAAAGGCGAACTGTGAAGCAGTGAGCAAGTTTAGTGGTGAGCTAAATGTGAAACCAAGGTCTGACTCCAAACCATGTGACAATAATGGTGTGGTGAAGAAGCCTGTAGTTGCAACTGGTAAGCCGTTGTTGAACAGTGTCACAGACAACTTCGCAGTTTGTGCAGGAGAAGAGGGCTACAGTTTTAGAGTCCAGTTCTGACTCCACAAGATGACAAGGTATTACTAGTCAGAGTAAAGGTATAAAACCTTTAAGGATTCGTGAGGAGGAACCAAAATTGTCTACTGCTGTTATCAAAGAGTTTAAAATGATGAAGTCGACCAGATAGCTGACGTTAAATTGAATATTTGTGATAATGATCGTGATAGTGCACCTTTCTCTTTGGTTGATCATGATGAGATGAGGGATATGCCTACTACTGCTAAGTTGAACAAAGGTTCTGTACCACTTGGACGTGAAGTATAATTAAAAGCGGATGTGGTGGTAGGAGGTATGGATTCTCGTGAGACCGTTGGTGCAAATGAGCAGCGTGTAGCCCACCTATCGACAGATGTTAAGGGTGAACTGCAGCTAATCATAGAAGATAGCAGTGACGACAATCCTACGGTTAGACAACATTCTAAAGGTCGAACAACAACAGTTTCTGATGCACTGTTAAGTCCATCAACTTGTGTCACTCAGTCGTCGTCTGTGTTGTCATCCACAATGAAAGGGACATCCATGAACTGACGTGCATTGTGCTATGACTATGTTAGTATCTGTCCGTTTGGAAAGATGAAAGTCAATGATCAGTTTAGTGAGGATAAGCCAACTGTGTATTTTTTTAATAATAATTTTCATATAATCATAAATTTACATGAAAATGCATGCCATTTTTACAGGCACGATCAAGTATGTTATAATGTCAAATCTTAAATTGTCTACAAGTTAATAATGTTTCAACAGTTAAATATTTGATACATATACATAATTACACTTATTGTCTGAACCAGGCCGTATAGTTATTGAATTGTACAGTTGTCCTCCAGGTTGAGCGGGAAAACTGACTTCGTTTCGTTTTCATCCCGTGGTTGTAGGCATACGATAACCAACCAATATTGAGGTAAGTACAACGTTTACAAAGGACTGGAAGCTGTTTTATAAAAGTTAAAGTGCTAAGGTGAAACATTAAAGTGTAATAGATTAAGTGAGTGAAATATATCATTAATAAACACATTTATATAGAAAACAGAACGGGGAAGTAATTAATCCTTAGGCCAACAACGTTCATTTGCAATGTATAATAAAACCAGTATATTTCGTACTATCATGATGTCCACTTTTGTCTTTAATACAATTATTTTCAAGCCAGTTGTCTTTATTTCATGCTTTTTTGTCTATTTGGTGCACAACCGTACCCTCCAGAGAATAGGAATAGAATGATCCTAATCGAATTCATACAGAGCTATAAAATGTTAGGTTTAATGGAATATAATGAGGATTAAGTAAAGACGTTATTAGAAAATAAGTGCGACAAGACATTGTGAAGTGGTATTTAAAGATCCGACAATGGACAGCAAGTATGATGGGGTAATTGTTAAACTGGCCTGCACGAATAAAGGCATTTCAAGTTACTGTTTGATTGTTATTGTCTTTGATGTAAATTACTCTATGCCTTCGCTTGGTTGGTCAGATACGTCGTACGTATAGTAGTAGTCTACATTGCACGATACAACGACTTGAGCGTGTTACCATTCGAAGTTGAAGATACAGATGATGGAAGGTGGTCACCAAACGACCTCAAAGAGGAATTTTCAACCCAGGGCGTCAACCTGAGAAGGGTTGTAGGCGTATTGTTGTAAGTCCTACAATTCTTCAAAGGAATTACATCGAGACACGATCTGCGAGTTTGTGTGTACTGTTTGCATATATCTGTGGTGTGTCATATCAATTAGTGTTTTTGGATTCAGTGTGTTTAATTGTTGTTTTCGTACCTTGTTGTTATTGCGTAATTTTGTTAAATTGTTCGTCGTGATTACTTCTGAAGTTGTTTCTAGTCTTCTACATCCGT